GAGTGTCACACGTTTTTTAATTGAACTTCAATTAAGTTTACTTCCTTCAAATAGCTGAAGAAGTTTTTTTTGTTTTTGAATGGGGTGTTAAAGAAAATAGGATTGCAGTGATCTCCTTGCACAGAGTGGGTACGAGCCCTTGGTCATATTCCAGAAAAAATCGAATACTACATTAAGCTTGTAGTGCAGAATATACGAATCTAACGTAGTGTGCTCTCGTACTTTTTAATAAATCTCCTGGCTGAACCTTTGCTCGCCCACCTGTCCTGGTGAAACTGGAAAGGCCTCCGGGCCACCAGGAATCTTTCAATCATAAAAAGAATTTTTTTTTAATAAACCGTTATCCGAAAAAAGCATTAACCTTCTTTGTTTTTTTATTTTTATTCCTTAGATGGGTGGACGAACTCACAGCCCACCTGGTGTTAAGTGGTTACTGGAGCCCATATACATCTATAACGTAAATGCGACACCCACCTTGAGACATGACTTCTAAGGTATCAGTATAGTTTAAAATTAATATGACACGTAAGAATTTTTGGTGGGAGCGTGAGGGTCGATTTGTTTAATTGGCCGTCTGGTGTAGTGGTAAGTGAAATGGTCACTACACAAGGAGGTCGCGGGTTCGAATCCCGCCAAGGGAAGATATTTGTATGATAAATATGAAAGTATTTTCCAGGGTTTTTATTTTTTATTTTTTTATTACTTAGATGTGTGGACGAGCTCACAGCCCACCTGGTGTTAAGTGGTTACTGGAGCCCATAGACATCTACAACGTAAATGCGCCACACACCTTGAGATATAGTTCTAAGGTCTCAGTATAGTCACAACGGCTGCCCCACTCTTCAAACCGAAACGCATTACTGCTTCACGGCAGAAATAAGCAGGGCGGTGGTACCTACCCGTGCGGACTTACAAGAGGTCCTACCACCAGTAATTACGCAAATGATAATTTTGCGGGTTTGATTTTTATTGCACGATGTTATTCCTTCACTGTGGAAGTCAATCGTGAACATTTGTTGAGTACGTATTTCATTAGAAAAATTGGTACCCGCCAGCGAGATTCGAACACCAGTGCATCGCTCGATACGAATGCACCGGACGTCTTATCCTTTAGGCCACGATGACTTCTATGATGGGTTATGGATATATATTAAATATATGTATGTGTATGATATAAATCTTACATTTATTTCCGTTATCTGGTACCTGTAACCCAAGTTATTTACGAACTTAGCACGGGACCAGTTAACGTGGCGTGATTGTTAGTAAATATTTATTTATTTATTATTTATAAGTGTTTCTTCAGTTTTAATCGTGTAATAACGGTGATTTATTAGCTGCTTAGCATCTGTGAAAGTGTACAAATGTGGGAAAAGGAACGGAAAGCGAGATTTGATGTTCCAAAAAGTTCACAAAAATCTCAATGAACAACCTCCACTATTTTATTAAGACCATTTCATCGCATCTTGTCGCGTTTCATTTGCATTCCAATTGATCCATATGTAGTCTTAAATAGTTAATAATAATAACGTTTACATCATTTCGCTCCACATAATTTTTATATAATAAATAAAAGCTTAGGCTGTACGGTGTGTTACCTTCTTGGAAAAGTGGAACTATTACACTAGCACGTGCCGGAAGCTTTGTGACAATACGAACACGTGTTCAGAACCACGTGTCTGCTCAATAATAATACGGTTACAACAGAATAGGTACACTAGGTTCCCGATGCTAAATTCTTGAATAGGGCTGTCACGTAGCATATTTACGTATTAAGATGTTTTCTTATTTTTATTTAAAACTATTAGGCAGCGGCTTGGCTCTGCCCCTGGCATTGCTGAAGTCCATGAGCGACGGTAACCACTCACCATCAGGTGGGCCGCATGCTGGTCTGCCTACAAGGGCAATAAAAAAAATATGCACATCTGCTGTGAGCTTCGCTAAATGTTTAACATAATTTACTTAATTTTGTTATCACGGCTTAACAAAACTTTATGTGGACAACATTCATAATTTCAACTGAATCTGATAAACGAAGTTAGAACACGGATTTATTCAAAGCATCATTACTTTATTTTGGGGTATCTATAGTGTGATACTTACTGAGCAGGGTACATCGGGGGAATAAGTTCTCGCCGCTGTCTAGACATAGCTTGTAAAGAGGTTTGACGATCGCTGACTCGGTATCCTGTGCGGGTAGGGTGATAAGGGGGGAGATTCCCCCAACGCGAAACGCGTTCTTTGCCCCCGCCTGTCTCGGAGCTCTACCTCATACGAGTCTTGGGAGAACCACGGGAGGTTTTAATCGGCTTAAGTCTACCATTACCCGCTAACAGCCCTTAACGCGTAGGCGGAATTCCTGAAAGTTTCTACTTGACCCAAAAAAGGTATCCGCTATTTGAGGGTGTCCTTTTTTCCTGAAAAAATGTAATTTCCATATTTATACAGCCTTTTGAGTCAAAAATGTTAAAAGTTTTGAAAGTGGCAGTCGCATACATTATTTTATATATCTATTTAAATAATACAATCGTGGTTTTCGAAAATTCTGAATTTTCCACAAGGATATTTCTATTTTGAAATTGAAATTGAATCTTCTATTTTGCTAACCTTTATATGCAGTTCCCATTTACTTTGTAAACCGGCTTTATCTATACTTCTATACTAATATTATAAAGAGGAAAGATTTGTTTGTTTGTTTGTATTGAATAGGCCCCGAAACTACTGACCCGATTTAAAAATTCTTTCACTGTTTGGAAGCTACACTGTTCCCGAGTGACATGGGCTATGATCTTTTTTGAAAAAATTAGGGATCCTTACTAAAACTCCAATAATGTAACCCAAGGAGTAAAAAAATTACATAAAATATTCTTTACATCGCGTGCCCTGCGAAAACTATTGATGATAGAATAAAATAATGTACTACGACTTTGTAGAACACATTCTTATTTACAAAAAGTGTCGCGACAGCATATGTCTAACTATCTTAGTTATGCCGCAACAAGTTGTTTTATTTTTAAAAATAAAACAACGTCAAATATTGTTGAAATTTTTGTTAAATACCCGAGCGGAGCAGGAGCGGGCCGCTAGTATTCACAATAATAATACACCAAAAATATCTACCAGACAGCGACCGGTCATAACTCCAAAAGAAACAATTCTTTTGTTCTAAGTTTTTCAGTTCCAGTCGTAGACAGAGCGAGATAGATAGTTTTATCTATATATTAATACGTCAAGCAAAAACTGTATATCCCTTTTTACGAAAATTGCGTGGACGGAAGAGTATGAAATTTTCCACACTTATAGAGAATATAGAGAAGAAGTGCACAATGCTAATATATTTTTTAAATAATGCATAAAAGATACATTAAATCAATAAAGAAAACATTACACACACTACATACCATGTATTTGACGCACACACGCACGCATACTATTTATTGTTTAACTTTTGTTCTTGACGTCTGTTGTCAAATTGAGAATAGATTAAATATTGTTTGTCTTTTTTAATATTTTTTATAGTGTAGTCTTGGCGAAATTTGTGATTATAGAAGTATAAATTACAATCATAATAGTGTACAAACTTACAATTCCAATTAATTATAGTCGAGTTTCGACTACTGCGGGACCTCTAGTTTCATTAAAACGTCGAGTTTTCGAAAAATAATGTATTAGAAGTTATCGAAATGTCATAAAATAAGATATTGATAAATACATATTTAAACATATATAATGCATTTCCTAATAGAACTGCACGATGGATATTTGTTGTAAAACATTGTTGTATACAAAGGTTTGTTTGACGTTGAAAGTTTTTCGAAAACGATTAAAAGTGGTATTTGTTGAATAAGAGTTCTTCAATACACTATCACGACTTTAATATGAATCATATCATTACACTTCTAGGTGAATATGTAATTTTTAATGTAAAAAAGACAGAGTTTTCTTTTTAATATTTTTTTTTTATTGCTTAGATGGGTGGACGAGCTCACAGCCCACCTGGTGTTAAGCGGCTGCTGGAGCCCATAGACATCTACAACGTAAATGCGCCACCCACCTTGTGATATAAGTTCTAAGGTCTCAATTATAGTTACAACGGCTGCCCCACCCTTCAAACCGAAACGCATTACTGCTTCACGGCAGAAATAGGCAGGGTGGTGGTACCCACCCGCGCGGACTCACAAGAGGTCCTACCACCAGTAAATTAATTTAATCCACAATATTTTAAAATTATTACCGACAAGGTTATAGTGAGCCAACCTTAAAATATAGACATATGCTGTCGCGAACTTATTTACAGTTTTTAAAGGGGAACAATTCTGTCATACATTATTTTAGCGAAACTTTAACTGTTTTACGCAGCGCCCGTAGCGAGCGGAAGCTATCAAAAGGAGAAAAAAAAACCGATTTTGAAACATTATTTAAAGTTCTCCGCTCGTATTTGTCTCAGCGTGATGTTATGTAGCCTTCCTCAATAAATAGGCTATCTAACACTGAATGAATTTTTCAAATCGGACCAATAGTTCCTGAGATTAGCGCGTTTAACCAAACAAACAAACAAACTCTTCAGCTTTATAATATTAATAAGTATAGATTTAAAAAATGATATATATCATCTTAGCTAATTTAAAGAGTCATTTGTAGAGAGAGCTCCAACTAATTATTATGTATCACGAATTGAACTATCGGAAAACCGTTAAACAAAAAAAAATTGGGATTAGACCTCATGTCGCACGGGAGGTCGCAGCGCTCACGTTTTGATGTCTAGGGCTCCGACTTGTGGCTCAAGTGGACGGTGAGACTGTTAACTTATCTAGTTCGATAAACAAAAATGCGAAAAAGTAGTTTTAATTAATCATGTGTATAGTTTTGTGATTTGAACCACGTGAATCCAATCGATGTTTGCGCGCGCATTCCTCCGTGACCAACAGAACCGTCAGAGCAGTACAGCTTCGACACACGAGGCGAGAGCACAGTTCGTTTTGCAGTAATTCAATGAGAAAACCGAACGGAAATAAACAAAAATAAAATAAATAAAGAAGATTAAACAATATTTTTTTTTCAAAGATAAGCTTGTCCGTTACTTGTAATGGATAAAGGCCAACAATTCACAGAGTACTTGTTCGCTAAGATGGGGCCCGGCGATCGTGGGCCGAAGACTACAGAGGAACGATCAGCACCATTAGAGCCAACCGGCTGGAGGAAGTGCGTTATCCATAATACCATGCTTGTGGTCACTCTCGTCGGCGTCGTCGCTGGGATTGCATTAGGTGAGTTTTTGCTGTAATTACTAAACGAACTCATAGCTAATCTTCTATCTTCTATATAAATAAAAATGAATTGCTGTTCGTTAGTCTCGCTAAAACTCGAGAACGGCTGGACCGATTTGGCTAATTTTGTTCTTGAATTATTTGTAGAAGTCCAGAGAAGGCTTAAAAGATAGATAAATATGAAAACGCTCGGAATTAAATAAAAATAACAATTTTGTTTTTCCTTTGATGTGTCCCCCGTCGGACGGATTCCTTTTGTTTGTTTTAAGTTTATTTTATACAAAAGTTTAGGTCTTTTATTTATCGATTGAGGCACTACAAAGTAAAAAAAAAAAATTTTTTTTTTTTTTCTCTTATAGGCAGACGAGCATACGGCCCACCTGATGATGAGTGGTTACCGTCGCTCATGGACTTCAGCAATGCCAGGGGCAGAGCCAAGTCGCTGCCTACCGCTTAATACTCTCTATAAGCCTCGTTTGAAGAAGGACATGTCATAGCGCTCGGGAATAGCTTGAATATCTTGGAATATTCAGCTATTCCTAGCATTGGCATAATTTTGAATCAATGATGAGGCAAGACGGTGATACTTTGCGCGTTCATAGCATGATGAATGGTTTGAGATAATTCAAACATCTCTTTTAACTTTTCATCGAAACAATATTCATCGCTATTATTTGGAACCATAGTGTTCATCCTCAGTGTGTCGCTTAAGAGTGTGTGTTATCAATTAAGTTCTGGAATGAACTCCCTTCCATATTTATTGGTAGCGTATCTTGTAGCGCTGACGATCATGGGTGACTGCGAGAGAAATGAGCACTTATAATAAGGTGGGCATAATAAGAGGTATACTTCTCTGTTGACATGTCACTCGATACGCTTCAGCTCACTGATTGTTGATAATTAAGCTATGCATTCATTAATCCTCTTTGACTCAAATTAAATGCACGAGAGATGAATCAGCAGAATGATCTATTTATGTAGAAATAATTCTAATTTTAGATACAAGTACCATAATCTAAGTTTGTATCACTACATAGTCCCTATGTATGCTTTTAAATCTTTAAAACTACGCAACGGATTTTGATGCGTTTTTTTTAATAGATAGAGTGATTGAAGAGGAAGATTTATATATATAATAATATCCATTAAACAGTGGAGAAATACTGTTATCAATAATAAATTACAGTTCCCTAAGCGAAGCGAGGGCGAGTCGCTATTTTATTATAATATGTAGCTTAAATGTTATATGATGTTATAAACATTTATTTATAATTAAACTTTTAATGATGATCAACAATGCGGTTTCATAATGCTACCACTGATAATTATGTAAGTTTTCTGAGTAGCATTTTATTTAAGAATATTATTCGCTTAACTTGGAAAATTTTTTTACACAAAAACATCTGCATTATTTCAATCCCGATATATGATCCAAAAAAGTCAGTTTGCAAGTTTTGTTACGCCTAGATATTACGAAAGACCCTTGGTTTCAGGGTTCGGTTTGCGGCCCTATCAACTAGGTCCGGACACGTTGGTCCTCATCTCATATCCGGGCGAGCTCTTCATGAGGCTACTGAAACTCATGATACTGCCGCTGATCATAGCCAGCCTGATCGCCGGTTCCGCAAGTCTTAACGCTAAGATGAGCGGGAGGATCGCAGTGAGAACATTAGTTTATTTCATTTTAACTTCGATGTTCAACGCGTTTCTTGGTATCGTAATGGCGGTCCTGATCCATCCCGGACAGCCGGAACTGAAGGAGGACGTTCTGGTCGCTGCCGGCAGTAAGAAAGATCACAGCATTCTGGATAGCTTGCTGGATATAGGAAGGTATGACACTCAAACGCATTCTTTAATATTCTTCAAATTATTGCCATCAAATTAATTGTAATAAAGAATAGCTAAATATTGTTATTATATTGTTATTGTATTTATAAGTGTTAACTAGGACACTAGTTTTCGTAAACAATATTATATTTTTATTTTGAAAATTTTTTGTACGTCAACATTAAAAAAACGGTCAACAAGTAAATGCATTTGTGAAATAAGCGGTCCTATCGCTAAAAGCAATCTCTTCCAGATAACCGCCTAAATTAAAGAAAAAAATTAAAAGATTCAGCGGGTGTGTTGCGGTGTACGAATAATAATACATTATTAGAGAAAACCTCAATAACCGCTTAGTTCCAGATTAAGAAAAAAAAGATGTGTGGTGTCATGGGACACCGGATAGGAACGAAGTTCCTTATTATAAAAATATTAATTTTAAGTTCTATTCGAGGTATAAAGAAAACAATTATTCGGGTATACATATTTTATTATGATTTTTTTATTGATAAAAAAAAATTAACGACTTTACAAAGTTATCAACTTTATTTTATTCCGGGAAAATAATAAAAATCTTACGTTACGGACGTTTTCTGCCGGTTAGGGGTACCCCTTCGCATCGTCACATAAGGAATTTCGTTCCAAAAAGGAAAAAAAATGTACCAAACCCCGAAACTACATATTAAGAATGAATTAAATTGATTTTATAGAAACATATTCCCCGATAACATAGTGCAGGCGGCTTTCCAGCAAGCGCACACGGTGTACGTCGAGGAGACCACGTTGCTTGCCAAGAATTCAACCGAGAATGGCACTGTGCCGACTTTGGTACGAGTCGTGTCTTACAGGTGAGTTTGGTTACAAGCGACAACACAAGCATTTCATATTTTATTCCGATGTACTTTAAATATCTTTTTGGCGTAAGAAATGTAGAATAAGTTAACAGTCTTTTTTGCCACGTACCATCCGGCTATGGAATGAGCTCCCCTCCACGGTGTTTTCCGATCGCTATGACATGTCCTTCTTCAAACGAGGCTTGTGGAGAGTATTAAGCGGTAGGCAGCGGCTTGGCTCTGCCCCTGGTATTGCTGAAGTCCATGGGCGACGGTAACCACTCACCATCAGGTGGGCCGTATGCTCATCTGCCTACAAGGGCAATAAAAAAAAAATAAGCTCATTCTCGTCGAGCCCGTCGTTTTCACAGACACACTGAGTTTCTCGTCGTATCTTCTCAGTGGGTCGCGTTTCCGAGCCTGTGGTAGATTCTGTTAAGCACTGCTCTTGCTAGGGTTAGTGTAAGAAACGACGTCAGGTTTGAGCCCCGTGAGTTCACCTACTAGATATTGTTACGCTGAAATGGTCTCTCAAAACCATCAGCTTAGGTAGAAATAAAAAAAAGTTAGCATAAAGATTAGACATAGTTTTAATAAAGGTGATCTGCACAAAAAAAGCCGTATTGAGGTGTCTTATAGGCTACGAGCTCAATGCAAGTACACACACAAAAAAATACTATTATCAAATCAATAGGTACACATTATAATAAAGATGGCTTGCTGAAACTGGACTGCGTTACCGAGCGCTAGCCAATACAATTAAAACTGTAACCCCCCAAGTCCTAAGTCGTAAATTGAATGGCTGCATTCACGTCGTGATATAACAAAATGCTCTTAGAATTCATTTAATATCAGACAACTTCTACTGGTGGTAGGACGTCTTGTGAGTCCGCACGGGTAGGTACCACCACCCCGCCTATTTCTGCGTTAAGCTATAATAATGCGTTTCGGTTTGTCGTTGTAACAATCCTGAGACCTTAGAACTCATATCTCAAGGTAAATGGCAGTATTAACGTGATAGATGTCTACCGGCTCCAGTACCACTTAATACCAGGTAGACGAGCTCGTCCACCCAACTATGCAATAAATAAATAAAAATTAAGAAAGACGATTCTATCTTCCGTTAATGCTAATACTTATAATGCTTGTAAAGAAAACCTTTAAAACTCTTAGTTTAAAAAAAGATTTTTCTTAGACAGAATCACTAACCTGTCTGTCATTCAGTGAAGAGAGTAGTTCATTTTTGCATAATAAGACCGTTTAAAATAATAAATTAAAAACAGATTAAGGGCTTTAAATCTTGTTTTCTTAATTATATTACAGAAAACTCAATTAAGTCTTTTATTGTTAATTCATTCTGGAGTATTCCATATCATTATAAAAAAAAACATTTAAAGCCCTTAATCGATTTTTGAAGTAATGTTTTAAGCAGTCTTATTATACATATTAGGCAAAGCTGAACTTACTGTTTTTACTGAATGACAAACAGGAGAAACTTGTTAATAATCAAACTGCTTAAACATATAATTTCTCGTTAGGAACAAGTAAAGGGCAGTATTGGCGTGTGGAATAACACTCAGTGCTTTCAAGGGCAAATGTCATCAATGTCACTTTATATTCAAGGACTAATAACTTCCCTCGAACTATTAATAAATTATACATAACTATGTACGCCCAGATTAATAGATACTTTAAAATATGATTTAATTAGAGGCAGACCATAGGTTTACTGTTTTGTTTAAAAATGTATATTAGGTTCATTTATTAATAGGCTATCAAACAAAAGGTGTTTCAATAAATCCTGTTGATTTAAATTCAAATGACAGTACTGTATGGTCTTTTAGTTAAGCTGTAATAATCATTAGTATTATTATATTAAATGCGTATTTTAATGTAATTTCTATTTCATAAAATCTTTTATTTTGCTTTATAATTAAAGCAATTGGTAACATGAATTGTTCATTGTTTGAACATTAGTTCATAAACCTAGATCGTATATTAACATCAATTGAGCATGGTATTTCATACCATTGTCGATTTTATTCCCGATTTTTAAAATTTGTTTTGATTTTTATGCAAACTTACTCAATGAAATATTCAGTAGTTCTCTTTCAACGATTACATTTCATAACAAATCAGCTATTTCGATCTAATCCCGTTAGCATAGGTAGGTTAGTGTACGCAAATAAGATTCTCTAATATGATTAGGTACCTTGTTGTGTCATATACAGCTAGCTCTACATGAGGTGTTTCCTTTACGTCAATATTAAAATAGCTATTTGACATTTTTTTATTGCTTAGATGGGTGGACGAGCTCACGGTCAACCTGGTGTTAAGTGGTTACTGGAGCTCATAGACATCTACAACGCAAATCCCGCCACCAACCTTGAGAAATCAAATCAAATCAAATCAAAAAAAAATTATTCAACATAAATGAAAGTACATACTTGTTGAACGTCAAAGAGAACTACCGCCAATTCAAAAAAACTAGCCTCCGTCCTGAGAAGAACTGGCAAGAAACTCAGCGGGCATGTCTTTTCTTTTTTTTAATATTTGTTTATTCTTTTTTTGAGTTCTAAGGTATCCGTTTTTACAGTATAACGGTTGCCCCGCGCTTCAAACCGAAAGGCATTATTGCTTCTCGGTAGAAATAAGCAGGGTGATGGTGGTGTCAGAGTAACCTGATATATTACGTACTGTTCAGGAAAATCATGGCCTTCATAAAGAATATGGTGTTTTTTTTTGTTTCAAAAGTAAATTTAAAAGAAACAGCAAATATTTTGCTAGATACGCTGATGATCCAAACGTTATTCGGAACTTGTATTCAGTAAAAACAATTTCGCGCCTTCACTATTCCCGGATTGAAAAAAATGCGACCCAATTCCTATATTTGCGGCTAAAACATAAACATTGATAAAAAGGATTCCATTATGTAGATATCTAATCGAATATCCTTTGTAAACCCGTCGTTAAATGGAATGGAGTGTAATAAAAAAATAAAATGACCTTATCATAGCTTTGCTCTCTCTATGCTAATTCTACAATAGATATATTTTGAAAGAGGCAAAACGTTCAATATATAAAAAAGTAAAGTATTTCTTTTATTTATTATTGGTATCTTTTTATTCAAGACTTTGATTTAATTAATTTAAAATTTGGCAGCTACTGTTCTGTTTTAAAATTCGAATCACTACATAGAGTGCTACATAGTAAATGTGATTTATAAATTGATTTGACGCACGTAATCATAATTAAATTACGCTCTATTACAGATCTGGCACAAATACTTTAGGTCTGGTATTCTTCTGCCTGGTTTTTGGAAGTCTTCTCGGATCTTTGGGCGCAAAAGGCCAAGTAGTCATCGATTTCTTTCAAGCGATATTTGAGGTGATCATGAAAATGGTAGCTGGAGTTATGTGGTTCACCCCGTTTGGTGTCAGCAGTATTATAGCTGGGAAGATATTGGGTGTAGCAGATGTGGGTAAGAAGATTGNTACTTTAGGTCTGGTATTCTTCTGCCTGGTTTTTGGAAGTCTTCTCGGATCTTTGGGCGCAAAAGGCCAAGTAGTCATCGATTTCTTTCAAGCGATATTTGAGGTGATCATGAAAATGGTAGCTGGAGTTATGTGGTTCACCCCGTTTGGTGTCAGCAGTATTATAGCTGGGAAGATATTGGGTGTAGCAGATGTGGGTAAGAAGATTGGTTCTTTTCAGTTATCAGATGAGATGTTAAGAATGTTGAGGCTTGTGGTTATTTATTTGATGAAATACCGTTAGTAGATTTTACTTTATGTGCAGTTTTGTAATGTAGCTTCTCCATGCATATCTATACTAATATTATAAAGAGGAAAGATTTGTTTGTTTGTTTGTTTCGAATAGGCTCCGAAACTACTGGACCGATTTGAAAAATTATTTTTCTATTAGAAGCCGACATTGTCCCTGATGAACATAGGCTACTTTTTTTTTTATTTTTTTTTTTTGTTTCATGTGTGTTTTCATGTTTCCTAAGCGAAGCGAGGGCGGGTCGCTAGTGAATGTATAATTATGTAACATTGTGTCGCCAATTTGAAGATTTTTACATAATTTAACAAGTATGGTAACAGTATGGTTTTAACGGCTATCTGGTTAAAAACTTGTTTTATTTTTTGTGTCTTTGTTTGCTCGAACATGATGCAAAAAACTAAACTTTTTTTTTGTAATACGTAAATTTAAAAATTATTGTTTTGTAGAATTTAAACAGAAAACTCCTAAGTGGTTATGACCTAAAGGATAAAACGTACGATGAACTCTTATCTAGTGTTATGACTATGTGTGTGTGCACATCGCGCGGGGAATCACCAATTTTTTTTTTGGTCAAAATACACAACTTCACGTAACCAGACAATTGTAACGTTGAAGGAATATCATCATGTTACAATAGCAAATTAAAATCGCGAAATAAAAGGAAAATACATACGTTTTATTAAATAATGTTATGACCCCGCACGATATCACCATTCTGTTTTTAACGCGTTACGTACTCCAATTTAAAAGGCGAAATATCTTGATCTCCTGTTTGGAAGTGGCAGCGACATCCACTTAATGATATCTATGGATTCCAATAAACAATACCAGGTTACCGGTGAACTTGGTGACCTATAGCAATAAAATAGTAAAGATATATAATTGTCGTACTAGGATGCGAATTAATTACGATATCTTCACAAAATTCCCCAAGAGATAATTTGAAACATCCAATTCAAACCACAACTATGACATTTTTAGCTATTTTAATAAATGGATACCAAAATTTATTACAAATTTGTTTGTATACACTTACATGCATTGTGTAATCAACTTTACAGAATGAAACTTTTCATCAATTGAACTGTGAAATGGGATCAAATGTAGCCTTTGATTGTTCATCATTATTAGTAATTGATATGAATGTGCACTCATATGCTTATTGAATCCAATATACTCGATCATGTTTTGCTACCATGTCTTGATCATTATTTTGTTGGGAATTAATAAAAAAAATACATGTATAGAACATTAATTTCATGAACATAAATTTGTAATTGCAGTACAATGGGTTTGATGAAATCAATTGAGATAATCCTTTTAGTCATCACATTATTGGAATATAATGGGCTGCTAATAGTAATCCTTGAATAGATTTTACATAGTTTATTTCTGATGGTAATTTTTCTGTTAATATTGACATAATATGAGTATTCAGTTGGATTTCTTTTCTGTTAATAATGACATAATATGAGTATTCAGTTGGATTTCTTTTGCAGCTGTAAAATCAATCTAGATCTACATACTACTGGTGGTAATAACTCTAATTGATTTAAACTTCCAGCACACGTGATGTCCCAGTTGGCATGGTTCATAGCGACAGTGGCCGTGGGAGTGTTCCTTTATCAGCTCATAGTGATGCAACTGATATATTTCATAGTCGTGAAAAAGAATCCGTATAAGTTCTACTGGGGACTGTCGCACGCTATGCTAACTGCCTCAGCTACGGCGTCAACGTAAGTGGATTCTGCCTTTATTAAATTGAATATGCAATTTCGAAAAGAGCACATGTCGCATATTTTGTCAAATACGTTTTTTCATATACATGTAGTTTTGAGGCTTAACTACACCCATTTTATAATAATTCCAGTAATTTTCAATTGCTGATTAACACTAAAATATATCTCAAAATTTAATATTTTAAATTTTACACTGCTTTAGAAAATAATCAGTTTTTTTCATTACCTGAACATTTTACATTTTCAGAGTTTGTGCCCTTTTCGAAATTGTATATTCAATTGTAGTCATACATTCAAGGTTTTGTTCTATCAATCTTAACTTTTTTTTTCAAAATTAGGGATTTTTGATTAAGAATTTTACTTTTTGCTTCAAGTTTGTTGGTTTCTCAATGTATGGCCGAGACAATTCTGTCCACTTTATTTTACTATTGCACCCCACGTTATCGGGGCTCGTTATAATATATGATTTCTGATTTTGGAATTAATTCCCCTCCACGGTGTTTTACTTACGCTACAGTACAACAACGCAACAAGTCCAAATATGGATTTAAAATTAAGATTATATGGCAAAATCCAAAGTTTATAACGCACCAACTGAGACTTTTTTTTATTTAAGCCCTATTTATATCAAGAGAACTATTTAAAATAAAACAGATTTTTTTAGATTTTGAAACAGTATTTATATTTTATAAGGGATTTTATGACCCGGTAACGAACGTCAAGACTTATTTTAATTTTAATAAAAACTTTTTTATATTATGAAAAATGATATTATGAAATGAAATGAGGTTGATTAATATGAAACATGGCATGAAATGAACTGAATTGAAAACGAAATGAAATGAACTGAGATGAGATGAGATGATATGGGATGAAATATAATCTCAGTAAAATAGTGATTATTTACTGAGACTTTTTCAATGGACTTTTTGGAGGATCCCGAGAAGTTACTTTCAGCGGATTTGTTTCATTTTCCCACATTTGTGCACTTTCACAGATACTAAACAGTTAATAAACCATCTTTATTACACATTTAAACCTGAAGAAACACTAAATAGACAAAATAAAACAAATCACACACCTTCACTCCTCGCGTTCCCGCCAAAAAGTCATCTTGAAACAGAATATGTCAACAAAATATAGTACTCGTATTTTCTGGGAACGGAATTGATTCATCCAAATACTAATTACTTGCAACACTAAGGCACTATTTTTCTATGAACAGTGCAGCAGCGTTGCCCGTCACCTTCAAGGCAATGGAAGGTCCACTCAGGATCGATGTCCGCATCACTAGGTTCGTTCTCCCCATTGGCTGTAACATCAACATGGACGGCACCGCTCTCTTCATAGCGATAGCCGCGGTCTTCATATGCCAGATGAACAATATGACTTTGGGTTTCGCTCAATTGGCAACTATATTGTGAGTATAAAAACGTTATATCTAATCTGTGCTATTAAATTCTGGGGAGTAAATTGGATACTTGAAAAGAAAAAAACAAACAAACAAACAAAAATTATTTCATAGAAGCGATTTTAAAACCAAGTGGACTTGTTATTTTCAAAGGCTATTTAAAAAGCGCTAATATCCTTTGATATCCACCCTCAAAAATGGGATTGTGTTTATTAAATAAATACTATATAACGAAAGCTTATACTATTGAAATCCATAACCGCCATTTCGATTTGTTTGATAAATTTCTGAGAGGTACAGTCAAAAGGAAGAATTTCCGCCTAGAGGTTGTAATTAATTGCTCTATAGACCGTCGGTCCGAATGTTGCAGCTCGGAACTTGTATACAGTAAAATAAAATGTTTTTAGTGAGATTCAGGCATCTATCAAATATCGTATTTACGTAGATTCCATAGACACAGCCCACTGAGTTTCTCGCCGGATCTTCTCAGTGGGTCGCGTTTCCGATCCGGTGGTTGATTCTGCGAAGCACTGCTCTTGTTAGGGCCAGTGTTAGCAACATCGTCATGTGTTTGAGCCCAAAAAAAAAGTCGTGTGTATGAGCGTCGATATATCGATACAAGGCGCCATTGTCTTCCAGTTTGACGTCGACGGCCGCGTCTCTGTCATCGGCCTCTGTACCGTCGGCGGCGCTGGTGTTGCTGCTGGTGGTGCTGTCCTCAGTGGACGCGCCCGCGCAGGACGTGTCTCTGTTATTCGCTGTGGACTGGCTCGTGTGAGTATCGGATATTCCATTATGTGATATTACGCTTTGTTTTACGAGTAGACTTACGAAAGTATAAGTAGGCGATTATCTCAATTAATTCGGGATGCTAATCGAATTTTTAAATGCTTTGTGTGATTAATATACCTATTAGCGAGAGATGAAGGGCTATTCGGTTTAAGCTAAATTTTTGCAACTTTACAGGAGAGCCATTTAAAGTTTGAAATTTGGAAAAAATATCATAACAAAAAAAAAAACTACTTGAGGTGTCTGAATAAAGTAAACTTAATTCTGGTTCAATTAAAAAAATCTGATTGTTGCTACTAATACCCAAATAAAACTCAACTATAATAATTATTACGTTACAGTGTGTACAGAAACAGAACACTGTACACAGAAAACCACTGTGGATTTATATATTTTTTTAATTTTTTTTTATTCTTTAGATGCGTGGACGAGCTCACAGCCCACTTGGTGTTAAGTGGTTACTGGAGCCCATAGACATCCACAACGTAAATGCGCCACCCACCTTGAGATATAAGTTCTAAGGTCTCAGTATAGTTACAACGGCTGCCCCGCCAAACCGGAACACATTACTGGTTCACGGCAGAAATAGACGGGGCGATGGTACCTACCCGTGCGGACTCAGAAGAGGTCCTACCACCAGTAAAAAATATAGTATAGAAATATAGTATATATTAAGTATAGATTGATTGAATTCCAGTGATAGGATTCGTACAACGAACAACATGCTCGGCGACTGCTACGCGGCCGCCGTCGTGGAACATCTGTCTAAGAACGAGCTGATGGCGTGCGATGCGGCTTCCATTGTTAGTATTCTATATAAGTTTATAACGAATTATTAAAACAATCCCAGTTTAAGGTGTATAATTTATAAAGTACAACGATGTAAAATATATTTCATTGGTGCTGCTTTATCGACTGACAGCTTTTTGGAAAAACTTCGTGGTTGGTTGCCCGGCGACGTCTCTGCCGCTCCGCCCGCACGCATGCCCCTCCAAGACCCACGATTAGTACAAATAGGGATGTGCGCGTTATAACTTCCTTTTTATCTTACCTATATATTATGTAGAATTGGGATCGTGGCCCAAAAAACATGGTAGGCAGCGGCTTGGCTCCGCCCCGGGATTGCTGACGTCTATGAGCGACGGTGACCACTTACCATTTGGCGGGCAGTATGCTCGTCTGCATACAAAAAAATATTCTACTATTCCAAAATCTGTTCCAAAATCCCATGGAACCGAATGTTCCATGGGGAGTGCTCTGAGGAATTGTTCGAGATGATACCGGCATCTCGTTTTTACCATCGCACCGCCCGCCACCGGAGTAGAGTTCATCCATACTACCTGGAGCCACTGCGGTCATCCACAGTGCGTTTCTAGAGATCTTTTTTGCCACGTACCATCCGGCTATGGAATGAGCTCCCCTCCACGGTGTTTCCCGAGCGCTATGACATGTCCTTCTTCAAACGAGGCTTGTGGAGAGTATTAAGCGGTAGGCAGCGGCTTGGCTCTGCCCTTGGCCTTGCTGAAGTCCATGGGCGACGGTAACCACTCACAATCAGGTAGGCCGTATGCTCGCCTGCAAGGGCAATAAAAAAAAACTTCTGTACTTATAAAATAAAAAAATATTTATAACACCTTTTTTACGCATTAACCGTTTTCGCCGTCTTCCTTATTTCTGTCATTCTGTCTGTCAATCTCTTCTTTTTCTTCTTTATGTTTTGGCTCCGGCACGGTTTGTGCATTAGCCAGTGTCAAGTAATAAGATTTTTATAATTCGCCGTTTTAATTATTTAGAGTTTATGAATAATAAAAAACGAAAGAATCTTAATCAATTGGCATGAAATGAGATGAGATGATATGTGATGATATATAATCTCAATAAAATGGTGGTTATTTACTGAGACTTTTTCAGTGAACTTTTTGGAGAATCCCGGAGAGCTAGTTTCAGATGCTTTATTTCATTTTCGCACATTTGTGCTCTTTCACAGATGCTAAACAGTTAAAAAACCACTGTTATTACTCACTTAAACCCGAAGAAACACTAAATAGACAAAATAAAACAAATCACACACCTTCACTCCTCGCGTTCCCGCCAAAAAGTCCTGTCGATCTCTTTCCCTTTCTTATCGTTTTCTTTCACTTACATCTTAATGCTCCGTTCCAGACTCTTTCATATGTTCCGTTCTTACTAATCTTACATATATTATGCTTATAAATTGTGTTGGATGAGATGTGTAAGCTTTGCATACAGCGCCCTCTATTAAATAATTAACCAACCCTGATACTAAGGCTTTGAGTCAATAAGCTAAGCCACAACGCCATGCATTAGAAACTTATGAGCTCATATATAAATCAAATAATTTACAATGAAAAACTATTGTGATTGTAAATTGAGATAAGAGCTATCCTATCTCATAAAATGGATTAAAAGACATATTTTAAAACAGAAAACGTTAAAATCGAATAGCTGATTTCGGAGTTAATCTCGAACAAGGTCCATTAGATGTCTCACCATTTATTGGCTCTGTATTATGGGGCTTTGGCTTTATTAAAAAATCAATCATAAAAAAAATACAAGCCTCTATTACCAATAAATATGAAGTAGAACTCAGTAATCGCTGATAATGAATGTTTTACCAATAACAGAATTGCAAATTCTAGGAAGCTACGACCGGGATAACTCCGAGCACAGAAGAAGCCTTAACCACGCCAGGGAAGCAGTCGATCGTATCGGACGACATCGTCATTGACATGCACAATCACAACAACGTCGAAAGGATTTAGTTCTTACCAAAAGAGTCTCTGAGACTCTTATAAATGATAAAAAGTATTAAAAAGAAGATTTAGTAAGAGAAAGGCTTCATGCAAGTCTCTCAAAGCTTTCATCACAATACAATGATGTCATCTATGTAGATGTTTATATTTTTTATTTATTGATAAAACGTTGAGATCAAATTATTAAATTGTAATTGATGGACTGATATGTAACAGGTATATAATTAAATATAGGACGTTTTTTTTTAAATAAAATATGTATGTACTATAAGGATTAATTAAAATAAATCCAAGATAATCGAACAATGCTGAACTTCTTTGTGATCTATGAAGATTTTGCATCGTTGTCTTTTCAAATAACATGCTCGTCTAACTCTAGAAGATCTTCTATCACTTCTCCGTTAACGTATTTATAAATAGCAATAAATCACGAAGCATCTCTTTTACTAAATCCTCTCATTTTACTCCTTTAATAAAAGATCTTCGCAATCTTTTCGCTCCGTGAGCAGTTAACCGCGTAGATTCTTGTTCTTATGGTTTACTGGCTTGCATCGGATACACGATGCAAGCTATTACTAGAGTAAGTAGTAACTGATTCTTAACAATTATTTTAATGATTTATGAATATATCTATGACGGTAAGTTTTCGAATACCATACCAATATTTTAGATTTTTCAAATATGGGTTCGGTAATGTTGTGTAAATAATTATTGTTTACGGTTTAGTCTAGAGCTAATTTAGATCATTTTGTGTTTAAATTTTTTATAATTTGATTAAAATGAAATGAATATATTATATAGCATACATTTATACATGAAGCTCACAAGTTCTTTAAAGTTCGAATTATTCTTTTCACAAAAAAAAGATCGCGTGATATTGAGACGTGGCGGCCGTAATGGTCCCACGTTGTCCATATGGACATGAGAAAAGCGTTAGGAAGAAACAGGAAAAGTAGAAGTGGGTGATTGGGTAGGGCGGTGGACTTTGTTTTTCTGACAATCTGTGCATTCACTGACCCACTGTCTGCGTTCTTTCTGTGCTCCAGGCCAGATAAACCTATTCGTAACCATTTCTGCAGTGGCTTTACACTTGGTGCGCGTCAAAAATAGGTTTCCTGAAAGCTACTGTCATATTTGGTCGTGGATTTGGCGTGGATTTTTTTAAATTTTTTTTATCGCCGTATAGGCAGACGATCATACGGCCCACCTGATGGCGAGTGGTTACCGTCGCTCATGGACGTCAGCAATGCCAGGGGCCAAGTCGCTGCCTACCGTTTAATATTCTCCACAAGCCTCGTTTGAAGAAGGACATGTCATAGCGCTCGCATAGCATATGTCGCAGTAGATTTCCTTGTCGGAGTCTGGTATTTAAATTTTCTTCAGATCTAGTGCTGAACCATTCTGTAGCAGTTGTTTTAATCCTAGATCCGAGTCTTGTGATGCTGCGAGTGCGGTGTAGTCTATAATGCGACTAATTTCCTCTATGCGGGAGAGCGCGTCGGTTACAACATTTTGGCTTCCTTGGACATACTGGATATTCGTTGTAAATTGGGAGATGAAGTCCAGATACCGACATTGCATTGGAGAGCATTTTTCACGATTATAAGAGAAAGCAAATTACAGGGGCTTATGATCCGTAAAAACTGTGGATGGTCTTGCTTCTACCATATGGTGAAAATGGCGTATTGCGTTGTATATAGCTAGCAGCTCACGATCATATGGGCTATAGTTAGCTTTTTACTGTTGACGGTGGTGGGTAGTTTATGATTGTCTGCACTTTTTCTGGTAGCGGCCTCATGGCCCAGGAAGGTGATACATGCGTTACCAAATTCACACTTGTTAGTGTTAATGAGCATGCCATATTCTGCTAAGCACTGGAACAGCTGCCGAAGGTATTGGAGGTGGGAGGTCTCATCTGGCTGGTGACTCGGTATCTGATGGTAAGCTTTAAATAAGTCAATTTTTGAGTAGTCTTTGGTTCCTGCTAGTTGCTGCAAGAAGTCTTGAATGTGGCGGATTGGATATTTGTCTGAGATTGTACGCGCGTTCAGTGCCTGATAGTCCCCGCAAGGTCGCCAGCCGCTGTCTTTCTTGGGCGCGAGGTGAAGCGGTGATGGCCACGAATTCTCGTACCTATGCGTCGTAACGCTTGCCAGCGTTTCATTCGTTTTTTTTAAAGACACTTTTTCGGGATTGGGGATCTTGGATAGGGCGGGCCTGGGGAGGGATGCCTGGGAGCATTAGCGTCTACGGGACCGACGCGGGCGGGGGGTTCCTTGTCGCTGCTCGCTTTGTCCTCGGAGGGTCTCTCTGTGGGGTGTTTCTTCCGTACGGCTGGAAACTCAAGCTTGAGCAGCTTGACGTCAAAACGTCAAGAAGTCAAGACGAGGAACCCCCCGCCCGCGTTGGTCCCGCAGACACTAATTCTCCGAGGCACCCCTCCCAGGCCCGCCCTATCCAAGCCCCCAATCCCGACAGTGTATTTAAAAAATAAAAAATTACGAACGAAATGCTGGCGAACGGTACGGCACGTAGTATAATAATAATATATCAAATAATGAATCTGTCAATTAAACGTTTTATTCAATAGGGTACTATGTACAGTTTTGTAGTTATTTAAGTTAAATTTCAATTATTATGCATTTAGATTATAATTATTCATTGCATATAACGAAACTTTGATTTAAAAATCTCTATGAAGATTTTTAAAGTTGTTTCCAAAATTTTGTTGTATGTATCATAGGCATACTCAATACTGAGTTACTTAAAATTAACTTCAAAATCGATATTAGGTTGTATCTATCATATTCCAAGTATATAAATACTTAGGTATAAGAATTTAATAATATATCACCATTAGATATCAGTGAGTCGGTACTGTATTATAATTAAGGAGGCTAAATTTTTGTACCTACTATTACAATATATTATAATATACTAGTTGTAGAGAAGCTAATTTAATCTATAATAGATACCAAAGAACTAAAGATTTACAAAATAATGAATTAAAGGATTTTTGGAAATTTTACCGTAAAATGTGATTTTGAATTACATATTTATGTGTTCAGGTTCTGTAACCGAGAACTGTGATGAGGAGTTTCTTTTAGAAAACTGTTTACTGAAATTCAATATTGTATCGTGTGTCTTACTTAATATTTGAGCATAATCGAAATAAAGTACTAAAGATTAATTTTTCAAAGCTTCTGAATAAACACGAGAATAGTACCTACATGAGTTTGTCATATGCTATTAATGTTGCATTAATTTATAATATACTAGTGTACCGCCCTCGCTTCGCTTCGGAAACATTAAATTTTAATATTAATAGCGGATTCCCGTGATGTCTCTCGCGGTTTTTGTCGTACCACGGATGCCGCCGCGGGGCGAAGCTAGTCTAAATAAAGTCTCCTAAGTTACTCCTTATTACATCAACTACCTGCCAATAAAAGTCCTGTCAAAATCTGTTCAACCATTTCAGAGATTAGCCGGGACAAACAAACAGACAGGCAAAAATTGTAAAAAGTGTTAATTTGGTGTATGTATGTACCGTATATATTATATATATTCATATGCATGTAGTAAAAGACGATTATTTCAATATTACAAACAGACACTCCGATTTTATTTATATATTTTCTTTTATATATAGTCAATTATCTTTAGAACAGTAGCTTTTGCAATCTGCAATATAAAATCATCTTTAATATATACTATTACTGTGTACTTTAAATTCCACAGTATAATATTATAAACTAACATAAGGGTATTCGGTAATAATGCACGCTGGCAATATTGTTATTAGAGGTTCAAAAATGATAATAATAAAACTGCTCAATATTAGATTCGCATTTTCATTTTATTCAAACTTCCTTCGTCGACATTCGTTTGGAACTTTAAATCTAATATTAACATTGTTTATTTTATTTACACTTAGTCTTCATACTGTTGGATGTGTGGCATCAGAAATACATCTTTGAATAAACACACGACACTGATACACTTTTAAATTTGATATATTATATCGTACAGATGATTGTGTTAATTAATGAATTAAATTTGTATAATGATTTAACAGATATCACAAAACAGTCTACGATATTTTCATACTTAGACGAAAATCACAGGACAATACACATTCCAAAGGCACAGATATGTCATGCAGCTGCAGATATACGCAAATTATAATGGTGTCACTACATCTTTGTAAAAAAATTACTGTACATTATCATAAGCTTAATTTATAAAATACTTATAGCTTACAGTAAAGCTGATTCATTTGTAACATTTATACAAAATAACATGGCAGTCTTTGATTTTGATATTATACAAGGCACTAAAACGTATACAATATGTACAAGATAACATTACAACCCGATTCATTAATATTTACATTTACCGGAAAAATCGGTAATAAGCGCTTAAAAGACACCATTTTGAGCATACTTTAGGTGTGTAATGATGCACAAAACGATCGAGAGGATCTAAGCCGATCAGATCGGCTTCTAAATAAATACTACTAAAAATACTAGTTGGCAAACATGTTACGGGATATGTACAGACATCTTAAAAAATAATATTCACATTCGCATAGTTGTGTGGGGAGGTTTTCTGCTACCTGGTACCGGCGGAAGGCCGGGACCTACAAGGGGAGACATCGATGGCGATCTCGTAGCTAGAGGAGATAATGAAGGCGAGAAGGACGGAGACATGGCAGCCGCAGCAGAAAATCCCCCAGGAACATCATGACTTATAGGCGATCTAGGCAGTAGGAGCTGCGGTTGTCTACACGACAGCGACGGCGCAGGACAACTCCTTGGCGCTACTGTCGTTAAAAGAGGGGGTGGCACACTTTTACCTCCAGATATGGACGTTCCTTTACTTTTGGCGCTAGACGCCGCACTATTTCCACTTTGAAGTGACACGGCATCGTCTTTTAGACGCGCTATTTCCGAAAAGACATGCGCCAAGGGCTGATACTGCGGACCCCAATCGAGTAAGTAGTCCCAGTTGTAGCTGCCAGTTAATTCCTCTTCAGAATGTACTATCGAACTAAGACTGCCGGTCATAGAAGGACCGGCGGTTGGTACGGCTGTGTTCTCCCCTGGAGCGCTGGGAAATGCACCTAAAGCCATAGCTCTGTCTACGGCAGCACTGGCTTCGTCAGCACTACTGGCTCTTTCGCTGCCGGTAACTTCATTAAGTTTGGCGTAAATGAGATTCGTGATATCGTTTTCGTGAGCGCCATCTTCATCGAACATATGCATGGAATCCATCGGTGGGTGATGTAACATATTATCTTTAGTTCCTGTATTTTCAGAGCATCGCCTTGATGACGTTGAAGCTCCGCCTCCGGCACCCGTGTCAACTATACCGAGTCTCGCTAAATATTCTTGTGTATTATGTACTGAAACATCAGACAGATTGTCATCGTCTCCTGATCTATGCATCCCGGACTCTCGTTGTAAGGGACCTTCATTAATCATTCTTATTTCCTCGTCCTCACCGTCTTCTCCATCCTCAGCTGAGCCACGCCCGCTTGAGCCGGATTGATCAGAGCCTGAGAGTTCTGATGTAGTAGCGGCCCCGGAATTCGAGCTTGCTGTGTGTGGACCATACGGAGGTATTTCATCGTATTTTGGCGGAGCGAACTGACCAGCAGAATTGACCGTACCGGTATTTCTAATGGGGATAGTATCAAAAGCACCTGGATCGACATAACTATTAGTTGTGACCCCTCCTTCAGAATTGAAGCCGGGCTTGTTGACGTTTTTGTGTCTTTTATTTTTCATGTGCAAGAACAGAAACGCTGCTGCAAATATAATTATAATGAATATGAAAGCGATAAGTAATCCTAAAGCCCAATCTGAAAGACCTCCATTTGTAGCGGCCGCTGTGTCGTTTGTTTGATCTATTTCACCAGCCAAAGCCATATCGTTCAATCCGATTTCGACTGCGGTTTTATTTGTTAGGGAGCCTTGTCGACCAGAGCTTGCGGTGACAACCAAACTAATCGATTTGTCTGAACCAAACAAATTTTGCACAGAATCTATTTTCTTCTTCAGTATAATAACGCCTGTAGTCCTGTTGATTTTAAAGTAAGAGTGCGATGTCGACAGTTGGTACACGATGCGGCCATCGATGCCTTTGTCTCGATCTGTGGCAGTTGCTTGACCGATGGTATACCCGGCGGGCAACGACCCCGATTTCGGTATCCTAAACTTGTAGGTTTTTTGCGTAAATTGAGGATAAAACTCGTCGCGACTCTCTACGTCAATTCTCACTTTCACAGTGGAACTTTTTCCACCCAAGTCAGATGCTTTTATTGAGAACTCGTATTTATTTCGCGTCTCGTAGTCGAACACCGCGTTACTGTTCACCAGTCCAGTTGACGAATCGATCTGGAACAGCTTCCACGAATCGTCCTTCCTATTTAAATTGAACGTTGACGGTATTATCGTATAGTCGAGTTTCCCGAATTTGCCTTTATCCAGATCGGTCGCTCTGGCAATGAACACGGACGTACCCGTTCTTTCGTTTTCAGCAATACTCTCGAAGTATTCGCTTACGGGAAACGTGGGAGTATTGTCATTCTCGTCGATCAGACCGATTTTGATGTAAGCCTCACTGCATAAAGCAGGAACACCTAGATCGCACGCAATAATCACCAGTTTATACTCCGTACTGCCTGTGTCGTAGTCAAGGGGCTTATTAACGTTCAGTACTCC